ATATTATATTCAGAGTCGTAGTGGTTTTGAACATATTCTTTTCCAGACAGGTATGTTATTCTGGGAGGTCACCGGGACTCCTGGGTGTTTGGAGCTATTGACCCAACCAGTGGGACTGCTGTTTTGCAAGAAATTGCCCAGAGTTTTGGAAAACTGATGAGTAGAGGTAAATAACATTTCTTTCCTAGGTGATGACAAAAAATGTGACTTACTTAACATTCCTTTATTTTTAGGCGATACCTAACCATGTATGTTAACAATGATTACAGGCTGGAGACCTAGAAGAACTATCATTTTTGCAAGCTGGGATGCAGAAGAATTTGGACTTCTGGGTTCCACAGAATGGGCAGAGGTAAATGCACCAGAGAAGGTTCTTGTTATTTTTTTTGGTCAACAGGAAACAAATAAATATGTATCTCAAGATGATCACAAATAGATTCCATTATCTAATATGGTTTTAATTTGGAGAATGACTCAGGAGAATTTAAGAAATTGTTTTTATTAATACTTGCACATCAGTTTGGCAAAAAAGAATAACTTCTTATTATTAGACTATAAACAAATTTATTCTTGTCAAAATATTTCAGTTTCCAACTGTATTTGTTTTGTGAAAAATCAGTAAGCTCAGAAAATAATCAAAATTAGCCAGCTGTTTTTTACAAGTGAATTAACTTATCTAAAAACTGACACAGATCGTTGGAGTGAATTTTTAAATTTTTGAAGTTTCCTCGGAGTTCTTCCATCTGAGAAAAGAAGGATAGCTATATTTTGATTATAATTTCACATTTACAGATTCCATATAAAATTGGAACCTTAAGTATGTTTTACCATTCACAAAATATATGCTTAATTGTTAAGATGATAATTTTGTAAATTGAATTACTTTACTAAATTGACTTGCTTTACAATTTAAGGTGTTTTTTCCTTCAGATATGATTGATTTTCACTAGTTCTTAGTTCTTTAAGTGTCTCTCCTAGGCCCCCTTTCTTTCATCTTCTTCCCTTAGTCTCTCTGTTGAATAATCTCTAAGTTCTTAAATGTATAAGGTAAGCTCATACATTTCATACAGATAGGTGTACTATATAACTACTTACTTTCCTTCCACCATCCACTTTTTATCATTTATAAGTCCAGATTCTATAGACTTGTTTTAAAGCATGGAATACCTGTCTTGTCATTGTGTTTAGTTTTAAAAATGCTTTCCTTCTGACTCAGTTCCTCTTACATTATTTTAAAATACTATAATAAAAATAATAGGAATCAAATAAATATGGGAGTGGTAAAAAAATCACAAACACAGATACTTGTCTGGTATCACTTGTCCTTTGTTGTTGTTATTGTTGTTTTATTTCAATAGATTTAGTGGGTACAAGTAGTTTTTTGTTACATGGGTGAATTGTATAGTGGTGAAATCAGGGCTTTTAATGTACCTGTCACCTGAATATTGTACATTGTACCTGATGCTTCACCTTCCTCCCAGCCTCCCCACTCCCGAGTCTCCAAAATCCTTTCTAACACTCTGCGTGACCATGTATACCCATCATTCAGCTCCCACTTATAAGTGAGTGTACATGGTATTTGTTTTTCCATTTCTGAGATAATTCACTTAGGATAATGGCTTCCATTTCCATCCAAGTTGCTAAGGAAGATATTTCATTGCTTTTTATGTCTCAGTAGTACTCCATGGTTTGTGTGTGTGTGTGTGTATATATATACATCACATTTTCTTCATCTACTCATCAGTTGATGGGCACTCAGGTTGATTCCATATCTTTGCAATTGAGAACTGTGCTGCAATATACATACAAGTACGTGTGTCTTTTTAGAATAATGACTTATTTTCCTTTGGGTAGATACCCAGTAGTGGGATCGCTGGATAAAATGGTAGGTCTACTTTTAGTTCTTTGAGAAATCTCCATACTGTTTTCCATAGAGGTTGTACTAATTTACAGTCCCACCAACAGGGAATAAACATTCCCTTTTCATTGCATCCAAGCCAACATCTATTGCTTTTTGACTTTTTAATAATGGCCATTCTGACAGGGGTAAGGTGGTACCTCACTGTGGTTTTAATTTTCATTTCCCTCATGATTAGAGATATTGAACATTTTTTTATATTTTCCTTGGTCATTTGGATATCTTCTTTTGAAAATGTTCTGTTCATGTCTTTTGTCCACTTTTTGATAGGGTTATTTGTTTTTTCCTGCTGATTTGTTTGAGTTCCTTGTAGATTCTGATATTAGTCCTTTGTTTGATGTATAGTTTCTGGATATTTTCTCCCATTTTGTAGGTCGTCTGTTTACTCTGTTGATTTTTTCCTTTGGCAGTGCAGAATCATTTTAGTTTAATTAAGTCCCATTTATTTATTTTTGTTTTTGTTGTATTCGCTTTTGGGGTCTTAGTCATAAATTCTTTGCCTAGGCCAATGTCCAGAAGAGTTTTTCTGAAGTTCTCTTGTAGAATTTTTATGGTATCAGGTCTTACATTTTAGTCTTTAATCCATCTTGAGTTAATTTTTGTATATGGTGAGAGATAGGGGTCCAGCTTCATTCTTCTGCATGTGGCTCTCCAAATTTCCCAGCACCATTTGTTGAATAGGGTGTCCTTTCCCCAGTGTATGTTTTGGTCTGCTGTGCCAAACATCAGTTGGTTGTAGGTATATGGTTTTATTTCTGGGTTCTCTATTCTGTTCCATTGATCTGTGTCTACTTTTATACCAGTACCACACTGTTTTGGTTACTATAGCCTTGTAGTATAATTTGAAGTCAGATAATGTGATACCTCCAGATTTATTCTTTTTGCTTAGGATTGCTTTGGCTATTTGAGCACTTTTTTTATTCCATATGAAATTTAGGATTGTTTTTCCTAATTCTGTGAAAAATGATGTTGGTATTTTGATTGGCATTGCATTGGCTATGTAAATCATTTTGGGCAATATGGACATTTTAACAATATTGATTCTTCCAATCCATGTGCATGGGATGTTTTTCCATTTGTGTCATCAACAAATTTCTTTCATCAGTGTTTTGTAGTTCTCCTTGTAGAGATCTTTTACCACCTTGGTTGAGTATATCTCTATGTATTTTATTTTACTTTTCACAGCTATTTTAAATGGTTTTGAGTTCTTGATTTGATTCTGAGTTTGACTGTTATTAGTGTACAGAAATGCTACTGATTTGTGTACATTAATTTTGATTATGTTTACATTGCAAATTTTTATTATTACATTGGTATTATGAATATACATCTTGGAAATAGACTATTAATTTAGATGAATCAAATTTCATTTTTAGGTCAGCTCCTTTTTTTTCCTACTCCTGTAGTGGTGGAAGGACATTTACTTTTGGAAATACATAATTTCTTGTAATACATAAATACATGTGTCTTTTTTTTTAAATTTAAGCAGCTTAAAATAAAGATCAAAGAAATCTAAGATATAAAATAATATATATGCTTTTCATTAATTTATATACATGTGCATTAAAAGATAATTTTAATACTTTTTCCAGTTTTGTACCAGATTCTTGATCATATTCAACAGCATACTTCCCTTCTTTAAATACACATAAGGAATATTTCTTATTCCTACTATAAATCTATTATAATGGAAACTCTGATTGTATATTTATCTATAATGGAGGTAACTGTCATCTGGCCTGTGCATGAAAGTGCAAAGAGTTGACAGTTTTTATTTGTGCCATAACTATACACAGCTTTAAATTAGTTTTACTATAACTTGTTCTCAGAAGGTGATTAGCTAGAGAGAGAAAGAAGTGAAGGACTCTTGCATGTTCCCATCTGTGTGTGACGACATTAATCTTCCTTATCTTTCTTGAATCTGTGTAGCGTGTGAGTGTGTAAGAGTCTTGTTTTTGTCCTGACTGTCCCTCCTTCTCTCCCTCTAATTTTTTCTGTCTTCCTCTCCTTTTTTTAATTCTTTAACTTCTCCATATATATATATAGTAAATATAGATAAATGAAAATTTTATATTTCTCACTTTTAAAATGGTAAATTTACATGAGTGTACACTCTCAGTGCATCTCAAACTTGTTGTATCTAATAATCAATTACTGGTGATATCCATTAGAAAATAATTGATTTCCAGTCCTTACTTTCAGCAATTCTGATTCAGCAGATCTGGGTATGGTTCTGCTGACTCATAGATTCTGGAACCCTACCCACATCTGCTGTATCAGAATTGCTGATGATCCCTGCATCAGAATATGCCACGCCCCTGCATATTCTGATGCAGGGAATCAAGGAACCACTCTTTAAAAATATTTTTTTTTCAGGGCTGTCTGCTATTGCTATTAAACAGTAGCTACTATTTCATAGTATTCTTCATGTTTTAATTGCATTAATTTTTCAACCAACCAATTATCAGTATTTTCTCAGAAATTACAGTCATAGGCAGGCATAAGTATTTGATTCATAAAGGTAATTTGTAAACCACTTTTCCATAAAATTAATTTACTTACCTTATTTACATTTTCACAATTGTAAATATTGTGAAATATTGTGAAATATTGTAAATATTACGTAACAACTTTGCTTCAACAATAGGAGAATGCAAAAATACTCCAGGAAAGAAGCATTGCTTATATCAACTCAGATTCATCTATAGAAGGTAAGTTTCATTTCAGGTAATTTTTATTTATCGTTGAGCAGTATACCGTCCTTTAAGCCTAGAAATTCCAACTTGTTAACTATCTCCCCTAAATTTGTGGTGCTTGTTTTCAACAGGTGACAGAACATAGTTAGTTGACTCATATAAATAACAAGTCAAAACAAAATCTTCAATACAGTATTTACTTATATGACACCTTTTCCTATGAGATGCCTTAATAACACCTTCATTTTCCATTTTTACCACAAAGAAAATAATTATTATTCATATGAATCAATATGATTCATGACTAAGCTATTGTTCCTAATTTCTTTGGTATATTTATCATGTCTTTATTAGATTACTACTTAAAACTATAGTATTAACCACATTTTTTCTATGGAGATACTAAAGGAAGTAGGTCAAAATATTTCAAAAGAAATATTTTACAGAAAATTTCATACAGAAATAGTTCTTGTTTTTATTGTAACAAATTTGAGGTAAACACAAACTAAAAACTTCCTTTTGAATCTTACATATGAAATTTATGTCTGTGGACTTTTACTGCATTGTCATTATTTCTAGATACATCTCAGAGCATACTTACTGGTTACTGACATGCTCTTGTCTAGTGTCTTGATATACGCTAATGAGTTGAAAGAAAAAAAATAAGAAATGAATGTTGTAGTTTTACTATTTCCTTTGCCAAAGTCCCCCTAAGAAATGTTGCCATAAAGATGACTCTTAAAATTGCTGTGGAAGCTGCTACCTTAGCAACTAAAGTCTACCTAGACTTTCTTCTGTCTAAAATATGTGCTGCAGCCTGTCTTGCTTCTGATTAATTTTTTCTACCCTGTTTTGTCCCATGGGAATGATGTCTTTGATTTGAAGATCATTATGTCTTGTTTAAAATTAGAAAAAGAAAAGAAAAGAAAGTTAGAGTTAAACATAAATGGAATTTCATTTGGAAGTATGAAATAATACTCTTTGTGTCTTGTTTTTCAGGCAATTATACTCTAAGAGTTGACTGTACACCCCTTCTTTACCAATTGGTGTATAAACTGACAAAAGAGGTATATAAAGAGATCTGTTATGTTTGCCGATGAACGCATAAAAGAATAACACTTTTTCCCCTAAATTTGTGGTGCTTACTATTAACAGGTGTTAGAACTTAGTTGATAGGTGATAGGACATATAACACGACAGAACAAAATCTTTAATATACTATTTACTTACATTACATAACTATGAAGATACTATCACCAGTCTCTTTGTTTTAATAATAGCTCTTATTAATAATTGTATGCATAGTCATATGGAATATATAATATTAACATTTATCTAGCAGAGGCATTTTGATATAGCAGAAAGTACACTTAGCTAGAATGGAAAAGCTTGGGGTTCAAAAACTGCCTTAGCTACTCATTCATTCAAGAAATTTTGAGTTGTTACTATGTGTCAGGCCTTTCTAAAATGAATTATAGCAGCAACAATGATAAAAGGACAGGGTCACTGAATTCAAAGATTTTGTAATCTAGAGAGGACCCAGAACTATAAATGAGGAATTATAGTTCATTAGAATATTTGGTAACATGCAATGGTGAACAATTGTGGAATAAAGAATCTAAAATCCTAGGGTGGCTGGGGGAAGGTGGGAAGCATGGAGGATGTTTACAGAATAATTAATGCTTGTAATAGTAATTAGTTACTATTAAATGAAAAGATGTGGAAGTAAGGGAAAAGGCATTCTAAGCAGAGGACACAGTACCTAAAAAAGATGTGGAGGTATGGAAGAACATTTTCCCTGACCTATAGGTAGGTCAGTATGGCCTAAGCAAAAGGTGTTGGTGGAACAATGATAAGAAATAGGGCATAACAAATAGGCCAAGGAGTTCAGAAATCTGGTGATGGAGAAATTGTTAAAGAATTTCTGACAAAGTTGCTCATTATTGTATGCCCATGTAGTGAATAAATTAAGTAGCAAGCCTAAAGGCAAAATGGAAATAATTCTACATGCTTACTGATCACACAGGTGTTTTATAAATATTAAATTAGTTTTAGAAGTAAAAAATATTCTGAAAGCTAAAGCACTCTGAATCTCTGAAAGTTATATAGTCTACTCATTTAATATCTGTGCCCTTCATTTAAATAGTTCCCTGCTATAAAATTTACTTATAGAAATGTTTGCTTTGAGGTCAGCTTTAGATAACAATGTGAAGTAAGTATCACTTTTCTTCAGGTACTTTTTCGTAATCTCCTTTAATCTTGTCCCTCCCTTTTTACTGTTAGTGTCTTTAAAAACTAGTTCTCCCAAATGAGAGTCCTCTTATGCTCAACACCATTCTTTCACCATTTTGGGTAGCTGACATCCTTGATCCTTTTGTTGGAATGTCTCATAAAAAAAGCATCTTATCTAAAAATAACCTTAAAGAAAATCCTTATTGGGAGACCTCTTCAGGATAGGAGTTTATGATTTGTGCTGTCCTTGGGAGATGGCGGTTCTTCCCTTGATGTCAGGAATGATAGGAATTTGGGGGCCAATAAGGGAGTGGTTTATGTGTATGCCCGTTTGTACAAAGGTGAATGCTTATCTATGGCCATACCAAGACCCAACAGACAAAGGAGATGTTTTTTACTCTCCTATACACTGATTATTACAATTTTGTCTACCTCTAGTGTGTGTTGGCACAAATAGTGAAATCATGCTGGTGACATGAGGGGACAGTAGGGGTGAGGGAGAGGGCTGAGCTTAGAGAGAAGAGCAGCTGCCTGATGGAGAAAGAAATGGGACAAAGCGTTGATAAGTCAGAAGAGGGCTATTTGTTCTGACAATGCATATAGCTAAAGCAGTTAAGAATGATCTGGCCATCTATCAAAAAAACACAAAACAACAAATGTTGGCGAGGATGTGGAGAGACAGGAACTTTTCTACACTGCTGGTGGGACTGCAAATTAGTGCAACCTCTGTGGAAAAGAATTTGGAGATACCTCAGAGAGCTAAAAATAGAAATACCATT